TGAGCCGAAGTTGGACGCTCAACCGACTGAACCACCCAGGCTCCGCCCCCCAAATTTTTTTTTAATAAATAAAAAATAAAAAATAAAAAATACTGAAAAAATAAAAATAGCATTTTTTCCTGAATCACAGGCTGTCTCTAGGGGCAGAAAAGGGAAAAGAGAAGGAACACTAAATGGGCAGACTTAGGGGTTCAAGGGAAGAACGGAGACCAAGGAAGCTGTCGATGTGAACATGAAAAGTTTGGGCATACCTGGGTGTGTTCAAGGTGGTCTTAGACCTCCACGGCCCTGGCCACAAATGAAGCCTTTGAAAGTGGGTGGGCAACTAACCCTAACGGTCAATAAACCCTTGGCAATCACACTTACTGAGTTCCTAACTATAGGTACAGCCCCACAAAAGATGCAGAGAAAGCCATCTGTTTCAGGGTTCTTCAGAAAAGCAGAACCAATAGAAAATGAGATGACAGATGATAGATGGATGATCGATCAATAGATTGATAAATGATAGATAGATGATAAGGTGGGACAGGGTGGCAGAGAGAGAACTTGGAGAGGGACCAATCTGGACGAGAATATTGGTTCTGCCTCTGGTTGACTGTGGGTGATGCTACACAGGCATCTCATGTCACAGAGCCTCATTCTGGAGCAGCTGGAAAACTAAATGACATGAATGGTGTTCAGTGAACAGCCTCTCTCTCCTCTTACTGTTATTAATAAACTTAGGGCCAGTCCATCGGGTACAGTAGGACAAACTGATTAAAAACCCAGACTCTGGAGACAGCCCATCCGGATTGGGGTCCACGCTGCCGATTTATTAACTGGGTGACCTTGGGCAAGTTACTTAGCTTTTCTGGGCCTCTGCTTGTCATACGTCCAATGAGGATGTGGCTTGGAAGCTGATTGTGAGGATTAAACGGGTTAACACCTGCAGGGCTGAGCACAGAGTGAGCCCTCTCTCTGTTAACGGCTGTTAACAGAGCCGATCCCAGCGGCTGGAGGACACAGGCTGTCCCTGTCACAGGTTCAGAGAGGCCAACTCTCCCACATGGCTACACAGCTGGTATGTCAACCTGGAACCATGTGGCCTTCCACGGGCCTAGCGGCCCTAAGGGGGGATGGTAACAAGGGCCTGTAGCACATCTCTTCCAGAGGTTTAAAAATAAGATTAACAGCGCGCCTGGGTGGCTCAGCTGTTAAGCATCTGACTTCGCCTCAGGTCATGATCTCACGGTTTGTGAGCTCAAGCCCCACTTCAGGTAAACCTGAGTCCTGCTTCGGGGGAGCCCCACTTCTCTCTCTCTCTGCCCCTCACTCACTTGTGCCCTCTCTCTCCCTCGCAAAAAATTAGATTAACAAACTGGATGTTGATCCTTCCGTGAACCACTT